TGTTTTTCTCTGACCAAACTCGTCCTCGAGCTAATATAGCTGTATTGATATATACAGTTGTCTTATCGACGACGTCTCGTGTTTGTTAAACAAAATATATTAACATAAACTAAGTATAAATAATATACATTCGAATAGGTAAAGTTCAGGTAATTTTATTTTTATAATTTCCACGGTGGTGATATAGGTATGTGACCGTGACCCATTGAAAAGAAGCCGGTGATGTGGCCTTTCGCGACGGTTTAACGGCTATATAATATAAGCATGTAACTATATTCTATAATATATCATAGAAAAGGTTAAATGTAACTATTGTAACTACAAACTAATGGTGTACTCTTAGTCCGTGTACGATATACATATAACATATAATAACCATACAGGCAGGTGATTAGAGTAGTAATTACTAATTTTAAATTTATATTTACACAATTACACATGTCTATCACTATATCTGTAGTGTTTGCACTACCGGTTTTTGGATATAATTGATATAAAATTCCGCTTATATAAGTACAGTGAAGTTCCTATTGGATGTATAATAATTGATTATGTAGGTATACAGTATACCCTTGCAGTGGCGGATCCAGGGTTTAATTTTGGTGGAGGGGCTCCTAAAAAAATTACTTCTAAGCCATAAATACAATATACCTAATATGCAATTATTGTAAATGTTTTCATTCCAATAACAATCCCAATGGTTTCCAAAATAGATAAATAGATTGTGTAATTAATTATAAAGCATTACATTTCACTCTTTAAAATATTTCGGTAAGTAAAAAGAAGAGTCTGTTGAAGAGGTCGGGGGGAGGCCCCTGCCCCCCTGGATTCGCCACTTGTGACTTGTACACTCTACCCACTACCTACCCGACTACTGGAGCTACTATATGATTAGTCGCCAAGATCACAGATAACTACAGAAGTATTATTTAAATTTTATTTTAAGCGATCATTTATTTCTTTATTGCCACGATATCAATTAGTAAAACTATAAGGCCATATTATGGGTTCTTGTGTACCACCGATATCTCTATGAGTTATGCAGAGCCGTGTCAAGCAATTCAGCGCCCCGGGGTAATTCGCGCCCCTTCCCTACAATTTACACACAGGTAGCCGTAGGCCGTAGCATATTAAGCTCAAATAAAGGCGCCCCTTTACTTTTACAAAACTACGGCACTTGGGGCATTTGCCCCCTTAGCCCCTCCCCCCTTAACACGGCTCTGGAGTTATGAGTAAAAGGATAATATTGTACCTATGTATAATATATAGATAAATATATTGGTACTTGAATGTTCAGCTAGCGCTCAGGTATATTATGTATCTATTATTTTAGATTTTAAGCGAACTGTGAAGAGAAGAATACACCTATTACCTACATGTTATTCAGTTATTGTACGTCTTAACTATTTACAAGGAAATTACAAATAGGATTAAATGTTGAAAAACCGTTTAAGCCATTTTTATAAGGTACCTACTATGTTTTTAGGGTAGGTAGGACATTCTTCAGGGAAATATTTAAAATATTTTTCTGTTATTTTTAGACTTCAGTGCATGTAAGACGTAAGTATATAATAATATATTACTTATTATTACATATTGTATACACTAAATATTAAATGATACTTATATTAGGTACCTATCCACAGTGGCGTATATAGGGGCAGTGGCGTACATACGGGGGGGATTTTCGGGTTCAAACCCCCCCCCAGGACCAAAAAAAAAAAAAATAATAATGTGATATTATTGATGAATTTCTTATTATTAATCAACCGTGTATACACAAATATACGTCATAATAATATGACTACTGAGTAAATAGTAAACACTATACTTAACCAACAACAGAAAAAGATTTCATAACGAAATAATGGGTGCCGTATAATATGGTATATCAATCAAAATAGACATTATTTTGATCGTACACAGTCAGTTAGTTGCGTGCGGATATAAAAACATATTAATATTGTCTTTATCTCGACCGACTCATTATAAACACACAAGACTGGGCGAGTTAAGTTTTTTTTTTATTTAACTCAGTTAAGTTAATATGCATACACATATTGATATAGTATATATTGTATTTTTAAGTACAGAAGTTACCTATAACATAAGTAATAAGTAATAAATAATAATAAATAAGTATTATATATTTTAGTTGTCTTTCAAACAGATATTATTTGGGTACATCATAATACGCGATGAGTAGGTATTTTTAATTTTAATGTTTTAACTATCAACGTGAATACTATTAATAATAATTAATAATCTCACAAAACCGTAAAATCATAAAATCAATAGGTAATTGATTTATTTTTTTTTTTGTTTATTTTTAGATTTTAGTGTCGGCAAACTCTATCATAATATTATGTCTATATTATTGAAATTTTGACATGGCAACAAAATAGACTCAAATAATGAAATGTAAAAAAATGAAAAACAAAATAAATTAACTTACAAATAAAAAAATTAATTCGATAATTTTACGTTGATTAAAAAATAAATTTAGTAAATTAGTAGTTAAGTTAAAAATTATTATTATCACATAATCATTATCATTCGATTTCGATATATTTTAGGTTTTGAAGGTAAAATAAATAGTAATCATGGATGAAAAAAAACAATCGAAACTGCAATCTTTTTTTTCGAAACCACCCTCAATAATGAATTTATTGTCAAATTCATGGAATGCAACTCAAACAGTTATAAGTTCCTCTAGTTCCTCATTACCATCAACTGCATCTGCATCTGATACACCTATTACTCAGTTTACACCTTCGACTACAGATATTAATCGTACATCTTCCAGTTATAATATTTTTGACATTGCACATTACACAAATAAATTGTTAACGCAAAGTGAAATAGAAGAAATTTTGAGCAAAATTTGGGTCCCTGATATTAATTACAATTTTCCTATCAAAATATCAGTAGTCGGTAAACAACAAAAAGTTTTGAAGTTGAAATTTCAATATAAATGGCTAATTAACTTTCCCTGGTTGGCCTATTCAGAAGTAAACAATGGTGCGTATTGCAAATATTGTGTTGCTTTTACTAAAAATGAAGCCGGTGTTAATAACCAAAAATTGGGAGCATTTGTATTAAAAAAATATGATGATTGGAAACATGCATTGGAAGACTTTAAAAATCATTCGAATTTAGAATATCACAATCAATAGAATTTTTATGATAAATAATTAATAATATAATATTTATAATATTCTGTACTTACTATGTGCATATTAAATAATATTTAACTGCCATGAGTTATACGTAAACCTTTGTATTTGTTTGCTATTTTGCCTATTAATATTTATACGTGTAATGTGTTTGATTGTTAGGAAAATGGGTAGTTGCAAAGAGAAGGTTTTAGTGTTGGTTATTTTTTTTTAACCCCCCCCCCCTCCCCAGAGCAAATTTGAATGTACGCCACTGTATAGGGGGGAGGCCCCCTAGGCCAGGGCCCATACTGAAATTGCAGGTTCAATTAAAGTATTTCATGTATATCTACATTCTACACTGCTTACAGTTTTTCACCATGATTAATTTAGCCGGTTGATTAAAATCGTTTTTGAGAAATCCACAAGGAAATGATTGTCAGGCTCAGGACTTGCTTTGATGACTTTGATGTTAAATTCACAGTTACATAACATAAAAAAAATATATATATATATGAAATTGTCAATATTTTTTAAAAAAGAATTAAAAAATTAATTTTACATAATTATAAAATGAAATTGCTCAATTTTTATTTATATTGTATATGTCGTAATTATAACCACCCAGCTCCCTAAAATATGTATTTATTGACAAAATTGGCCCACAGTGAAAATATTTTGTATATACGCCACTGCCTATCCAGGATAGCAGATTATCACAAAGCTATTTTTCATTTTTGAAGACGTTTCTAAATATCGTGTTGACTGACTTACCACACATTTTTTATAGTTTATAGTTTTATAGATAATAGATACGCAGTATTCAGTAGTAATAATATCTATACCTTATTATAGTCCCGGAATTAAGTTACAGTCGCATATTCGCATCACAATACACGATTGGTTGAATAGTATAGTTTCTATGTCGTCGTCGTCATCGCCGCCGCAATATAATAATTATTATGCGACGACCATCGTCGTGGTCACTCAATTAGCATAATATTAGTAGGTATACTATAGATGTAGATGTGTATATTTCGATTTCAAGTATAAAAATATATATACCAGTAGGCCGTGGATGCGGCAGTGGTGGCGGCGGGGAGCTAGTTGGTAAAGTGAAAAAAACTGCTAAAACCGAAACCGAAACTGCCGCCGCCGTTTGAATCAGCGCGCCCGCCACGCGCGACCTAGGGCGTGTCGTCCCCTCTCCTCCGGACGTGATCCCGTCGGTCGTTCAACAGATAACATAACAAACAAAACCACTGAAAACGCCAAATTCCGAAGAGCCAACGTGCCGTCTTGTTGGTGAGCAACTGCCGTCCGTCCAACCGTCCGTCTTTTTCTTTGTTTTTCCGATAATTTTTTAACAAAATTTTCCTCCACCTAATTCAGCTCGTGGTCTGTGTTAAATGTTAACCGTTATTTGTGTAATTTCTAATTAACCTTCACGTAGGTAGAGACGTAGAGTCGTGTTTGTCCGCGCGCTCGTTTGTCTGTCCAAGTGATGTGAGAACGTAACTACACTTATTTCTCCTCGACGATACTGGTTTTTCTTTTTCGTATCAGTAATTCATTCGGATTTTTCCAGTTTCCACCTCAAACGCTGTCTCGATTACTCACGTAGGTGATATTTGAATTTTGTTTTTATTTGATCTAACACAATAATAATTGATACCTTTAATGTGTATTTAATATTTACGTATTTTAAGATTGACTTTAAATACCTATTAATTTTTTAAATGTTAACATTGCTTTTCGCACTAATTTAGGTCTGTCTTGTGTTGTGCGTGTGGCATGCCATTAACAGTTTTTGATTAACTCTATCGTACGCCGCTTACCAGCACGATGCCAGGGTCAACAGTCTCCGACAATGACCTGAGGTACACTTATGGCATAATTGTTAATTTATTGTCATCACTATTACCTATACATTTACCATAATGTTTATTGTTATTGCCTACTGTCTTAAGTAATATGGTTTTATGCATATGTCCTTGTTTTCCCCTGCACCTATGAAAAATGATATTATGTAGCCATAGTACATTTTGTATAATTCATCTCTGATTTAAGATGTTTCTTTTGTTGTGTATGATTTAGTGTTAATTGAATCATTAGTAAAACATAAATAAATCGCTGAACAAATCATTTAGTTATTTTATGTATATGCCATACCTATTTCTATATTTCATGGTATATTGCCTACTATAAGTATAGGACTTCCATTAAGTAATCACATTACCCACCTGCTGTTTGCAAGTATATCTTTTTTTGATAACTTGAAATGTAATTTTAACTCTTTTTATATTATTTTTCTACAAATATACCTAGTATAATTATTTACCTATGTAGGAGTATGTCAATTAATATGTGCTTAGTGTTTTCCAATCATGAATTGTGAACATTTACTTATATTAACAGCTTACTGCATGTATTTGCTATAAAATTATAATATTATACTTGTGACATATTATATTTATTCTGTATTTATGTGATTTTACTGTTATAGTATCTTAAGTAGGTACTAATATTTCTTTGGCTAGCAGTGTAGCTTAGTAATTTATTACGTAATTGATATATAAGGTATGTAGGTACTTCCTATAATTTATGTTAAATAACCAACTCAAATAATTCCTATTTAATCATATGAAACTCAATAGTCTGTTAAAAAATCATTCAACTTAATAGGCATATAGGTGTAATTATTATAAACAAACTAATTTTTTAATCCCCTTACATTAATAAGTACCTGATTCCTTATACCTTATCTAATTTATCATAGGTATATAGGTAGTTGGATGATAAATAATTATTAACTAGGAAATCAATAATACAGAAATTGGTCTTCTTTAATTTAAAATTTCTATTTAGTGTTCATAATTTTACTTGTATTTGAAAGTAGATATAACTATAATTTTAAACCTTTCATAGAAAAACTATTTTTAAAATTGCTTGAATAGTTAGATACCTACTATATTATAGGTACTATATCTATACATAGTACAGAATTTATATTATTTTTTATAAAATGAACCTAATATAAATTAATTTGATTAATGAAATTGTATTGTAATAAATTACCCACTAATAATTAAAAAATGAATTAAAATAAATATAAATATCTAAAAATAATTATTTCTAACAAAAACAAATAGTTTTAATGGGTACCTACTTAATAACTAATATAACTTAAAAATAAATGATAGCTGACATAACAATTAAACTGATTGATTTAATTTATGATGATATGTTTTTATTAATACTAATAAAACTTTAATTGAAATTTATAATTAAAAACAAATTCAAATGTAATATAATAGAATTTATAATCTAATTGACCAAGCTCTTTAATCATTTTTGGCCAATATATAAATATGTTTGATAATAATATTATTATTGCCTACCTATCTTTATACTTATAAATTATTATCATAAGTATACATATTTTAATATCTAATTAAATTTTTTTTAATTGATAATATTGACATAAAATACCTATACGTAGTTATTAATTTTATTTTTTTATACAGTCTTTACTTAGAAAAATATTTGTTTTTGTAGAATGAAAAAGCGTAGTTTGGCTGGTAACGTAGCCCTTGGTTTGTACGTTTTGGCTTTAGTGTTTGTGTTCATTTCATTTTTTTCAACCAGTTGGTTAGTCAGTGATGGGAGAATCACAGGTATTTATTTATTTTTACAACCTATCTTTTTTAACGTTTAATTTTGTCATATTTTTGAAACTTTAATATAGGTGCAAAATTAGAAAGTTTTGGATTGTGGACTCATTGTTTTCGTTCACTACCTGATCCTAATGACCCGGCGGAGCGAAGGTTTTTTGTTGGATGCCACTGGATTTTTGACCCTTTCACCAAGGGATATGATGAAATCAAAGGATTTTTGTTACCATGTAATTAAATTAATATTGTATAGTTTCTCAACATTTTATATTCTTTGATTTGTGTTTTTGTAGTTTACATAGTGGCAACTCAGTTCTTTTACACAATTACATTCCTTGGAACATTAATATCAGCTGTTGGTTCATCAATGTTTCTTCTATGTTGTACACCTGATGAAAAACGTTTTATACAAATAACATTTGCATTGGGAGTAACATTGATTGTATCTGGTAAATTCAATGTTTATATAATATTTCTATAAATATTCATATTTTGTTACTAAACATTTTTTATTTTATTTTATTTTAGGTGTATGTGCTGCAATATCTGTGCTAATATTTGCTTTGTTTGCCAACCGTCCAGGTTGGATGCCTGGCCACGACAACAACTTCTTTGGTTGGGCATTTGGTGTAGCTATTGCAAGTTTCTTTGCTTTACTTGGATCTGGAGCATTTTATTTGGTAGAAACAAACATACAAGTGAAAAAAAGAAAATATTTGAAAGAATCACAAACTAAATTTGATATGGAGTCCAAAGGATAAGATGAAATTTATTGTTGATTTTTAATTTAAAATATTTCCAATTTAGACCATTAGTATATGTTTTTCATAGTAACCTTCAGTCCAATCAATATTAAATTATACTATTTTCAAAATCTGATAGCGGTAGTTATTTTTATGAAACTAATAATCTCATTTTTGTTTAAATTAATACTATTATCTATACTATTTTAAATTATTTGTGATAAAATGTGAGTAAATACAATTTTTACTGTTGTATGAAACCGACTCCGTCCATTTAAAACGAGTATTATTGCAATAATATTAGTTATATCATTATTAAGTGTATACTTAAATTAGTTTTAATATTTGAATTTATCACATCTGTCTCATAACTGTTAAAAATAAAATAAGTATTGTAATTTTAAGATATTATATTATGTATATTTTTTTTTCATTTTAAGCAAGCTTGTATTTAATGTAGCTAAATACTTGCAGTATTAAAATATTTAGTTTTAAGGACATCCTGTGCTACAGTTACAGGATTCATCACTGTAAGGGATGAACACCATTAATTTTCATTTTTCTTATGCAATCTAAGTTTTAAAGTTTGTATTTGGTTGATATTTTTTTAGTTTATTTTATTTTATCCTAGAAACTAGACGCATTGAAATTTTATGAAGCCAGTATTATATTATTTAATACCATATTTCTGCACATTGATTCTAAATTAATTAGTGTTCTTTTACCATTATTGCTTGTCAGTTATCAGAAATAATATCATAAGTTTTCTTTTCTATAATCCCAAATATGTATATTTTTTTTTTTGTTAAGTATCTATTATGAATAATATAGTTACATTCAAGCAATATAACATAGCTTATAAGTAATAACTACAACTTTAACAAAAATTAAATCAGACATTTATATTAACTATTTAAAATTTAATTTTGAATGAGGATTTAATTGTTAATACAACATTAAAGGTTGCTTTATGATAATTTTTTAAAAACTTCTTTTAGTGATGTGTTTATCAAAAACTTAATTTGCTTTATTAGTATAATATTATGTTGTAATTTGTATTTTCCACAAATCATTGAATTTATTTATCTTTGTATCTTCAAGTAAGATCATATTATACAATACAATTCTAATTATAGTTCTATTAAATTTACTATATTATGCCATTTTTATCACTGTATAACATTTATTGTTTATGTTCTTAATAATTATTTACGAGTTTAAACTGATTGTAAGAAGTTTATGACAGACACTTGATATTTACGTGTTAGTTATTAATAATAATTTTATATTTATGAACTGTATTAAGCAAAACTGCCTTTTGTTACAACACATTAAAATTTTATAATGTAGATTTAATAACAAAAAAAAAAAATATGTATAGAATATTTCTGAAAATAAAACAAACTTTAGTACATACCTATTAATTATATACATATATATATATATATTTTTTTTAAATGTATTAGTTTTTTAATTTTGCTAAGCGTAATAATTCTTTGGCCGTTTGGCGTATAGTATAAATGTCTTAAGTCAAAAACGACTAGTTTTTGGGAAGATTAAACAAAACATTGAAAAATCATTCAAAATTGTAGATAATAGTGTCTAGGCTGATAATTAATTAAATTTAATATTCTATTTACCAACTTTTATGTGAACTATTAAGTAGAACTTTAAAATCAATTCTTCGTTATTTTTAAGTGACATATATTATATTAAATTATATCCAATTATATTAAGGGCTGATTTCACTAACGCAGTTAATCACGTTTAAAGTTAACTGGTTTTGACTGGCCGAATTTGGCCGGTTAAATATCTGTTATCAGCCGATTAAGCGTTCACTGTGATTAACTGTGTTGGTGAAATCGGCCCTTAATAAAATTGGATTTTTGTTTTATATAACGTATGCTATTAGGGCATGCATTTCAAATTATTACTAAACCTTACTTAAGATATTAAGACCATTTTAAATTATTTCTGTTAGATTCTCAATTCTTAACTAGACATACGTGTTTTGTACCCAATATAATGTGACTTAAAATGTTTAGACCAAAATAAATTTCACTGATAGTGAGTTATAGTTTTGACATACGTGATCTGTACCAAAAATATATAAAAATATTTGATTCTATACTATACGCCAAAGAATTATGTTTAAAACATAATCAAGTGTATATAGACTATACAACATTGACTTAACTTGGTACAAACTAGGGGGACAAAATAATTTGTTCACCAAAATTGAAATCATAACTTAATTGTTATGTTTTTACACACGTCTTATAACATATCTTATGGCTTAGAAACTAACCGTAGGTACCTTTATGGTTAAATAATATTACATTGTATTTTGTACTTAATAGTTAATAAAAACAACTAAACCTTTGGTCCCCCCCTAAAATTTTAAGGGGGGAGGATCCTCTTGTCACCCATAATTATGCTACTGCTGTCTGCTATACTATAGTAATTTGTTTTTTAATTTTGATTACCTAGGTATTTTTATTTTTTTACGTTTATAGAAACTAATTAAATAATTTACTTATTACCTATTGATTATTATACTTTTCACTTGAATTGCATTTTCTTCAATAGAGTTGTATCATTTTTATTCTTTTCCTAATATTCTTTGCAAATTATACCAAATTAAATTTTACATACAGCTAGGCGTCATTTTTACTGTATTTTCATTTATCCTCCCAAGTGTTATCCATAAGTGAGAAAATTCTATCTACTGGAGGATACATCTTCCTACCATACAAAGGATATAGATACGGCAAAATGAATTGTACATTTTGAGTTAAGAATTGAGATATCCTTTTCTTTAAAATAACAGAATAGCTGCACCCATTTTTCTTCACTTATAATTTTTGTCTTAGTTTAGAGTTCTTATAATCTTTCAATACTTAAACTTTTAATAACCAATACTCTTTAGTCTTTAGCCTTTAGGTAATACAACTTCATCGAAAAGCCGATCTTGGTTTTCAATATAGTCTCGATCAAAATTACGGAATATTTTGTTAGTCGTACGGTAGGTAGGTACCTAGTTTTTTTTTTCTAAAATTGTCCTGCATAGTTGTAAATAATTATGTATACCTAGTTAGAAATTAATACATAATTATACAATTAATTACAAGGAAATTATTTGTACGGCCTTGATTGTTGGAAATAGTGAAAATCTCATAGGGCGACCTTGAACTATTATTTTATATTAGGTACGTCGGGTTTTGTGTATTTAAAAAAAAAAATTGCTGTTGGCGTAACATTTAATAACAATCTGATTCCTCCGGTAACGTCCTTCACATTATATATTTTTTCTATTATTACTAATATAATACTATATAGAACTGTCCCAAAGTTTTTTGGGACCAGGGGCAAATTAATTCCCACCCCTCATCATCATAACACGATATAATCATAAAAAGCGGGCAAGTTGATCTGCTGTATAGTAGGTCAGTAGTGTATTTAGGAATTTTTCTAGGGGGGGATGATATATATAATAATAGGTACACCCATAAATACGTACATAATATATATTTTTAAAATCCCCTAACTTGTTGAGGTTAGTGTGGATCAAGGCGAAATAAGAACTAATACAAATTCTATAGTAGGTACCTAATAGCATTTATTTTAAATTCATACTAACGACAATCCCGTCTTTATAACGATAAACAAAAAAAATAGTTATAATACAAAATCACGTTTTCTATTATATTTTTGGATGCTCGGTTCATCGATACCTCATCTGGCATGATAATTGAATTGACCGGTGACATGCCAATAAAGCCAACACATTAAGGGCCAGTGCCCAGTATTACAATAGTTAAAGTAATGATAAACTGTGGAATTCGAACGGTAAAATCAGCGGGTTAAGCGTTGTCAACCGAGTTTTAAACTATGATTGTAAAACAGGCCCTAAGTCGGTTCTAATAAACAAAGTATATAATAATATTACTTCTTAATTTATAGTTATTATTCAATATAAGATAGGAAAATTGATAAAATATTTACTTCTGTCATACTATTTATTAGGTAAGACTTAATTTTTAATAAAAATTTGAAAGACATCGTTCAGGTCTCAGGTGTACCTAGCAGTATGCCAGTATTGATAATAGTTGATTAGGTAATAGGCAAAGTACAAAATATTTTCAAGAGTTCATGAATATTTGGATAAAACTCTTCATCACAAAAATCTAAGGCATGTAACCCAGAGGTGACTACAATTTTTTCAGCCACGAACTACACTTCAGTCACTAAAAATAAACCCACAATTTATGGTAAATCTACGGTCTTCATGGTAATTATGTTTTATTTTCCGATCATTTATCGTGCTTATTATAAACACTCTTGTATTAAAATTAATTCGCAGAAAATTAAAAAATACAGTCCACCATGGTATGCATACTACCATTACTGCCGTATATACTATGTTTATGTTGTCCAATAGTCACATAATATAATGCCGCGAACGACTAGTGGCGTATAGTATATCAAAGAGGTAAAATTACCACGGCTAGAAAATTTAGAAAACAGACATACTTAAAAGTAATATTATATTGAGAAAGACAGAAAATAATAAAACTTAACTTTACAAAAAAAAAAAGGTCAAGGGGATCTATCCCTTAAATACACCACTGCAGTAGGTTATAAGTGAGTGACTGTAATGGATGGTGTTAAATTTGAATTTAATGATAGGTATAATATCATTGTACTGTAGGTACCTATACGAAAATGATTCTCAGCGGAGACGATTTGTCAGCCTAGGATATTTTTAATATTATATTCATTATTCATATTGTTATTATTAATACGGTAGCCGGTGCAGTTGAATTATTATTATTGTTTATAATCATATTTGTTTATAATATCCTATAAAAGTTTCAAGTACCCACGTATGTTTTTAAAATATAACATAAAACTAAAATTCTCAATAGTTTTCAAAAGCATAAGCACCAGGAAAAACAAACAAAAAATTATTAATTACCTAAGGAAAAACAGATTTTTAAGCAAAACCAGTTTTTGAA